CTTTGTCAGAAGCGGCCTGGTCCACAAATGATGGCTCAACGAAGTGGCTTATCGAGTCGAAATGTATAGCAGCCAACTTTTGTCTAACACACATCTTTCTAAATGTGGAGGGGAAACCCGGAGGACGCGGATCAACTTCAGCGTTCAGTGCGCCAACCGCTGCACCACCAACTCTCCAACGAGTGACATCGTCGTTGTATTTCTCTGTTGGGGAGGGCAGCGTGTCGGTGAAGAATGTGAAGAGTTGTGGTTGTGGTTCTGAACAACTGTTTTTGATTCGTACACCAAACCATGCGTGGGTTTGGTCGTCACTTGTTGTTGTTTTTTCTGCTCGCGGGTCGACTACACATTCCATCCACCCTGCGACGGTCTTGGCCTGTGGTCTGTGCGTCTCTGTGGAACTCTATGGATCTCTGTGTAACTCTACGGGTCTCTGTGTAACTCGATGGATCTCTGTGTAACTCTATGGATCTCTGTGTATCTCGATGGATCTCTATGTAACTCTATGCGTCTCTGTGGAACTCGATGGATCCCTGTGTAACTCTGTGAGTCTCTTTGTAACTCTATGGATCTCCGTGAGTCTAACTCTATGGATCTCTGTGTAACTCTATGGATCTCTGGGTAACTCTGTGAGTCTCTTTGTAACTTTATAGATCTCTGTGTAACTCTATGGATCTCTGTGTAACTGTGAGTCTCTTTGTAACTCTATGGATCTCTGGGTAACTCTGTGAGTCTCTTTGTAACTCTATAGATCTCTGAGTAACTCTATAGATCTCTGTGTAACTCTGTGAATCTCTGTGTAACTATATGGATCTCTGTGTAACTGTGAGTCTCTTTGTAACTCTATGGATCTCTGGGTAACTCTGTGAGTCTCTTTGTAACTCTATAGATCTCTGAGTAACTCTATGGATCTCTGTGTAACTCTGTGAGTCTCTTTGTAACTCTATGGATCTCCATGAGTCTAACTCTGTGCGTCTCGGTGTAACTCTATGGATCTCTGTGTAACTCTATGGATTCTAGATTTGAAGCTTTCGTGACTGCAAGGATTCATATTCTTAGGTGTTTTCGGTAAAGTCACGTAGGTAAAACATTAAAATTAATAAAAGTAAAATAAAATAAAAAATCACGACGTTTCGGAGGCAACACAAGTCTCCGTCATCAGGTGGGACCGTCACAGCCAGATTTGCTGCATCAAGTGAGGCAATGATTCAAGATGTAATCCCTTAAAAGCGAGTTGAGGGGGAGGAGAGGGGGGGGGAGCTCATCAGAATGTGGTAGCCAATGAATGGAACGTATCGGGAGGGAGGGGGGCGGGGCTCAAAGACGGCACAGAGTGCCACGTAGAACGCATCGGGAGGGGGAGGGGGGGTGCAAAAGAATGCACGACGTGGTGCAAGAGAGCGGCGGCGTGGACGTGGTTGTGCGCAAGCAACTACTGCTGCACACGCCAACGCATTGGACAGAGAGGGGGAGGCCAAAAGAGAGTGTGGGGTGCAAGTGTACGTGGACCTGTGTGTGTACAAGCACCTGTTGATACACATGATAGAAAAGAACGAAAATGCCCATGTTTATACCAGTGCTGGCTGAACAATGAAGAGAGTACTGTTAAACACTGGGGATGTTAACACTCGGTAAAGTGAAGTAAAATAGTGCCTGTCAGATAAGATGGTCCAAAAATGTGTAATTAACCTTGGTCTCGGAAAAGACAATTTTTCCGAGACCAAGGTTCTCTGCAAACCTCCTGGCTACCATCAAAGGTTTGTACACGAGGCCATACAAATATACAAACACAGACATTATTTCAACCGTGATGATGGGTACAAACTTAGTAATCATTGGAAAGATGTTATCAACCACTCAAAAAAGACTTAATTACACTTTTTTGGCCCCCTCCCCCTCCCGGAGCGTTCTACGTGGCACTTCGTGCCGTCTTTGAGCCCCGCCACCCTCCCTTCCGATACGTTCCATTCATTGGCTACCACATTCTGATGAGTCCCCCCCCCCCTCTCCTCCCCCCTCAACTTGCTTTTAAGGGATTACATCTTGAATCATTGCCTCACTTGATGCAGCAAATCTGGCTGTGACGGTTCCACCTGATGACGGAGACTTGTGTTGCCTCCGAAACGTCGTAATTTTTTTATTTTATTTTACTTTTATTAATTTTAATGTTTTACCTACGTGACTTTACCGAAAACACCTAAGAATATGAACTCTATGGATCTCTGTGTAACTCTGTGGATCTCCATGAGTCTAACTCTATGGATATCTGCGTAGATTTGTGCAACTGCAATGTCCTGTGACTGCCGTCACGGTCTTGTATCCTTGTGAAATGGCTGCTCAACTCAATGGCGGCCCTCCCAGCTGAAATAATAAAGTCTGAATTCATATTTAACCCTACGTGCCTCCATGTAACTCTGTGTGTCTCTATGTAACTCTATGGATCTCCATGTAAATATGTGTTTGTGAATGTGTCGGTGTGACCTGCAGTGTGGTGGCTGAGCGGGTAGAAAGGCGAGTTAGATGAGTGAATACGTGGGTGAGTAGTTGGGTGAATGGCTGAGTGTGTCGGGGAGTGGGTGTGTGAGCGGGTGAGTGAGTGCATGTAGATGTCAGTGAGAGTGGCTGAATTAGTGAACGAGTACGACCTGCAGTGGCGTTTGAGTGAGTCGGTGTCAAGGTGAGTGGGTGGAAAGGTGTGTGAGTGTATGGGTAAGGTGTGAGAGTGGATAGGTGTTGTGAGTGACCGGATGAGTGAGTGTTGTTGTGAACACACTTTGGGATTAGAGAAAACAAAGACAATTGGCCAACACCACGTGACGGACATCGACTGCGACATATTTAACTGCCGCGACAATTCACGGCAGAATTGAACTTACAGAGCTCGGCGAAAGCGAAGTAGGCACAGGACACATTTAGAAACATGCGTTTAGACTATTTAGAATATATGCTGCTATAAATTTCGAAATGATAATCCACTTTATTGAGCGGTCATTTGTGGCCAGGTCGCTTCTGAGAAATGAGTTAGGGGCCGTCCATAAATGACGTCACGCGTTTTTTGACGATTTTTGACCTCCCCCCCTCGTCACTCGGCGTCACAAAATGTCAGACCACCCCTCAAATATGACGTCACAAAGCTCTGCCTCCTTCCCCCCAAATAAAAAATGCTTCAAATCGCTTTAAACTATTGCCATTGTAGTGCGTATTTAATGTGGCGCTGCACTCTGATGTTGTAGGAGAAAACATTTATTTAAAAGTCTATTTAATTAAGTAGAACGTGTTGTTTATATTTATTTAAAATTGCGCATTTTGATGTGACGTCACATTTCTCACCCCACCCCTCGTCACACATCGTCACAAATGTCTAACCCCTAGGTGCGTGACGTCATTTATGGACGGCTCCTTAATGCTTTAGTGGGCTTTGCCTGGTAGGATGTGGTTGGTTTCGTGTTGTATTTGTTTGTGTGTTGGGTGATTTGTTGACCTTTCTTGGACGTTGCACCCCTATCGTGTTTGTGTCTCGTGTCTGTTGTTGTGACGTCCTTACCCCGTGTCCCTACCGCACATCTGTCAAAAAGAGCTTCATAGCTCATCGGATTATCCCAATATAATAAATATTCGGATTCTGAGAACTGTTGTCATCACTGTATCGTACAACAGCAACAATGTCAACTTAGAAGGGACCGCCGCTCTGTCTCCGCTCGTTCTCGACGAGGACGACTCAGAGGCACCGGGAGGAAGAACCCGAGGCGAGCGGGAATGCAGCAGCAGCAGCACCAAAGCTACCAACGTTTGCCTAAGCTCTGCAGACCTCTATTTATTAACATATATTCATCCAATGAACGAGTGGTTTATACGTGTTATTGACAAATGTAATAATAGGGGTTTCCCCCTTTTTTTTGGCGACAAAACTGAAAACTTTTGCAAAGAATCATGTTTACATTCACCACAAAACTTGCAGTGAAAATGCAAACAAAAAACAACACTGATAATTAATGCATTGTCCTCGAAACTGATTGGTCCACACAATGCATTAATTATCAGAGTGTTGTTTTTTGTTTGCATTTTGACTGCAAGTATTGTGGTTAATGTAAACATGATTCCCTTGCAAAAGGTTTCAATTTTGTCGCCAGAAAAAGGGGTAAAAATCATATTATTATATTTTGATACTGGCAAAGGAGGCATCATGATGGTGATTGACAAATGTGTTGAGCTTTTGTTTGTCCATTGTGCCTGTACAGCCACTGCCAACGCAGCAACAGCATCCCCAAATAACGAGTTGCTTGTTTACCCAGAGGAAGGACGCTATTACAGGGTGCTTAAAAAACATGTTTTAACACTTCCGAGAATTTGCAATAATACCACAAAAAATGTGCCTCCTGGCTCTGGAGACCACCTGGAAAAGATTCCAGGCACGTGTTGAAGCTACTAAAATACATTTGTTTTCAAGTTACAGTATATTATCCATTCTTTTTCCATTAAAAACGATAGTTCCATGTAAATGTTAACATATTTTTGAAACACCCTGCAATTCTCAGGCGACAAATTTCCGCCATCTTCCCCCCTGAGTAACATGGCAGCACGCTTCCCCGAGGAAAGATGGCGGCGAGCAATTCCGCTGTGACGTCACCCAACCCCCCCCCCCCAACAGGGCCAGTGACGTCACAGGGCAGCTTTAACATTCCGCAGCGCACACACGCGCAGCATCGCGGCGGCGGTGGGGGTGGGGGGGGTGGGGGGGTGTAAGCTCGCACGCTGATTGGTCACGAGTAGGCAGAGCTCTCGGCGCCGACCAATGGGAGCGGTGCCCGGGCGGCCGGACGCGCCTGTCCGAGCTGGGGAATCCGAAGCGGGCGTCGGGCCCAGAGAGAGACAGGAGCCCGGGGCACTCCGCAAAGCCGCGACCGTCACCGCCGCCGGGTTCGCGGCCACCCGCCAGCGGCAGCAGCAGCAGCGGCAACAGCAGCAACAACAACAACAGCAACAACAGCAGCGGCAGCAGCAGCAACAACAACAGCAGTAACAACAACAGCAGCAGCAGCGGCAGCAACAACAACAGCAGCAGCAGGGGACGCCGTGGCCTGTCCGCGCGATGCCGCCAGCCTGAGAGACAGCGGCCACCGGTGACCAGGAGTCGCAGGGTACCCCGAGCACTCGACACACCACCCCACACCACCCCACACACACCACAACACACCACCCCACACCACCCCACACCACCCCACACCACCCCACACCACACCACCCCAAACACCCCACCACCCCAAACACCCCACACAACACCACCCCACACCACCCCAAACACCCCACACCACCCCACACCACACACACCACCCCACACCACCCCACACCACCCCACACAACACCACCCCACACCACCCCAAACACCCCACACCACCCCACACCACACCACACACACCACACCACACCACCCCACACACACCCCACACACTCCACACCACACCACCCCACACCACACCACCCCACACACACACCCCACACCACCCCACACCACCCCACACACCCCACACCACATCACCCCACACACCCCACACACCCCACACCACCCACCCACACCACCCCACACACCCCACACACCCCACACACCCCACACCACCCCACACCACCCCACACCACCCCACACACCCCACACACCCCACACCACACCACCCCACACCACCCCACACACCCCACACACCCCACACCACACCACCCCACACCACCCCACACACCCCACACACCCCACACCACCCCACACCACACCACCCCACACACCCCACACACCCCACACCACCCCACACACCCCACACCACACCACCCCACACCACCCCACACACCCCACACACCCCACACCACACCACCCCACACACCCCACACACCCCACACCACCCCACACACCCAGCGCGGCCCGGCTCGGGCTCCTCGCTCGCGGGGGGAGGCTGTGGGTCTCCGTGTGAGTCAATGGGTCACTGTGTCGGTGTGGGTCTCTGAATCCATGGGTGTCTGAGAATCTACAAGTCTTCGTATGAGTCCATGGGTTTATGTGCGAGTCTCTGGGTATCCGTCTTAGTCAATGGGTCTCAGTGTGAGTGTGGGTCACTGTGTGAGTGTGGGTCTCTGTGTGAGACTTTGGGTCTCTGTGTGATACTATGGGTCTTCCGTGCAAGTCTGCGGGTATCCGTGTTAGTCTATGGGTCTCTGTGTGAGTGTGGGTCTCTGTGAATCCACGGGTCTTCGTATGAGTCCCTGGGTTTATGTGCGAGTCTCTGGGTATCCGTGTTAGTCTATGGGTCTCTGTGTGAGTGTGGGTCTCTGTGAATCCACGGGTCTTCGTATGAGTCCCTGGGTTTATGTGCGAGTCTCTGTGTGTCTCGATGTGAGACTTCGGGTCCCTCAATCTGTTTGATCTCTGTGTGAGTACTGGGTCACTTGAGTCCACGGGCTCTTCCGTGTGAGGCTTTGAGGCTCGGTGTGAGTCCATGGGTCTCTGTAAACCCGTGGGTTTCTGTGCAAGGCCATGCGTCTGTATATGAGTTTTCGAGTCTCTGAAGTCAGAAACCTCAACGAGACTCAGGACTCGCTCTCAAGAGGGTCCTGCCACACAGAGAGGATTTGGCTTCGTGTTGGAGGAAACTATTAAACACATTTTTTTGTTTTACCAGGTAAGGCCCATTGAGCTATATAGTTCTTTTTTTCTTTCCAGAAGCGATCTGGCCACAAATGATGGCACAAATAAAGTGACTTATCGTGTCGAAATGTGTCGCAGTCAAATACTCTAAACGCACGATTCTAAATGTGGAGGTAAATCGGAGGATCTGGAGAAACATCCACGCGGCCACGAGGAGAAGAGACACGCCAACTCCAACCATGCATCGTCAGGGTCGGGATCGAACCCACGACCTCCTGTATACCAGACGATGGACCTAACATCTCGCCAGAGAAATCTCAGCACTGCCACCTCTTGGACACCTCTTGGCCACAACACTTTGGCAAGCCCTGGTGGTGCAGGTGGTCACCCATCCACTAACTCGCTTTGGCTTCCCAGATGCGGCCGTGCCCATCACTTTGTAACGCGTGTCCCACGTCTGTCACAATCGCGTGCAGCGCTCACTCGGGGTCCCTCGCGACGTTTCTCCTCACGTTATGTTACCACCGATGGGTTTTAGGAACCAATTTGTTCGATTTCTTGAAAAAAAAATGTACAAAAGAACACAGTAAAAAAATGTACAGAATTTATATACATTTTTATGGCTGATGTATATTTATTTAGGAGGTTAGCGTTTGCCTTTCGTGAATACAGGTAACGCAATTATTTTGGTGATTATTTCTATTTGTCTGTCTCTGCTCAGATCTCTGTCTGTCTGTTTCTGCTCTGATCTATGTCTGTCTGTCTCTGCTCTGATCTATGTCTGTCTGTCTCTGCTCAGATCTCTGTCTGTCTGTCTCTGCTCTGATCTATGTCTGTCTGTCTCTGCTCAGATCTTTGTCTGTCTGTCTCTGCTCTGATGTCTGTCTGTCTTTGCTCTGATCTCTATTTGTCTCTGCTCTGATCTCTGTCTGTCTGTCTATGCTCTGGTCTCTGTCTGTCTGTCTCTGCTCTGATCTATGTCTGTCTGTTTCTGCTCTGATCTCTGTCTCTCTCTACTCTGATCTCTGTCTGTCTCTGCTCTGATCTCTGCATGTCTCTGCTCTGATCTCTATTTGTCTCTGCTCTGATCTCTGTCTGTCTGTCTGTCTCTGCTCTGATCTCTGTCTGTCTGTCTCAGCTCCCTCTTGCAAACGAGACCATGCTGTCCATAATAGTTGTTTTTGGGTTAGATCGCGTAAATATAAACCCGCCACCACCCGACACGGCCAATTTGTAAGGTTTGTGACGTAAACAAAACATGCCAATTCGTTACTAGTTCAGCACACCGGTGTGTTGGAGAGTAAACCCACAACATTTACAATTCGACTACGACGTTTTGCCAGTAATTACAACCAGCATCATCAGGTGACAACTCTGGCTGTCGACAACTCTGGCGATCGCCTGGTGATGCTGGTTGTAATTCCAGGCGAAACATCACGCTACTTGAATTGTAAATGTTGCAGTGGGTTTACTCTCCAACACAGTGGTGTATTGCACTAGTAACTAACTGGCACGTTCTGTTTACGTGACAAACCTTACTAATTTGCTGTGTCAGGTGGTGGTGGGTCTAACGACACATTTATATTTACGCGATCTAACTGAGACCCTGCTATCTTGAGTGGTTAACACTTGAGTGGTTAAAACTAAATAAATGTAAACTTTTGCTGAAGGGCCAGTCACGTCCTGCGTTGTCACAATCCCTCCCACCGCTGCACACGGCCTGATAGCGGCGTTGCTCCATATCCGCAGGGGTTTGTTTCCCTCTTGGGTCATGTCCCTTCCCGTGACGTCTTCCTGCATAATTATCGCGCCCCACTGACGTTACCTTCATGGTCGAAGCGGTGTGAGTTATCTCGTGTTCTCCGATGCAGGTGTTCCTCTCCCAGTCTCTGGGTGTCAGTCCCTGCGTGGCATCTCTCTCTCTCGACGCTTTCTGTGCGGAACTTCTCAGTTGTTTTTGTCCGTTTTCTTGGCTGCTGACCATTTGTCCGATGAGTTTGTCTTAGCAGGAAATGCGCACCAATTTCACTCTTTTATCATCGTCATCAGCCGTGATCTATTCCCTGTTGGATGAAGGACCTCCCAAGCCACCTCTCACAATCCTGCGATGCAATAACGATCTACCGGGCACCTGCTCCATGACACACGAGCTCACGTCATCGCTCCATCTCTTACGCCTGGACGCGTTCCGTTTCCTCGGCTGCCGCTCCTCGATCGTTCTCGGCCATCGTCCGTCCCTTCTCGCGCGTCATGCGTCCGGCCGTAGCAAAGCCCAAATGTTTCTGTTCCAAACCAGTCAACACAAGCTCGCATTGGGTCTGTAATCTGCATTGGGTCTGTCATCTGCATTGGTTCCGTAATCTGTATTGGGTCTGTAATCTGCATTGGGTCTGTCATCTGCATTGGTTCTATAATCTGCATTGTTCCGCTTTTTGTCGCATCGTCAGCGTGAGACCAATTACACGTCGACCGCCATGAATTTCCGCTGCAAATTTTTTGGTTTGCGTTCCGTTTTCTTTGTGGGTTTCCGTTGCATCCGACCCGTCACTTCACAACAGGAAAGCACATACTGATTGGAAACTCGCTCCGTTAGACGCGCTGCGATGTTGCTATCCAGCATCAGATTATCGATGTGCTCCGAGCTGCTATGGCTCACCTTTTAACTCCTGTCTCTTTGTTCCGTGTTTAATGTCTGTTATGCAAACTGCCTCTCTCACAGAGGCGGCAGAGAGAGTGGGAAAGTGGGGGGGGGGGAAGTGGGGGGAGGTAGTTTTGAGAAACTTGTTTCAAATGCCACGCCGACAGATGTAATGGAACCGGCGACCTCTGGATCGCAAGCCCAGTGCAACGCCGACCACCAGCACTGTGGCAGCTGCTGTCTTGTGATTCTCGGTTCGCGAGGTTAACGCCGTATGACACGAGGGTGGCTAAAATCATTCTCGTTTTTGCATTCGGTGCTGCAACAGTGTAGTGGTCAAGTGTCGCACTGGACTTGTGATCCCGAGATCGCCGGCGCACAGAGGTTTGGGTGAGACCCGTGCGATTTGGTGTGATGCGTGGCATTAGGTATGATCCGTGGGATTTGGTGGAACCCTTGGCATTTGGTAAGACCCGTGGCATTTGGTGTAATGTGTGAAGTTACGTAAGACCCATGGGATTTGGTGGGACGCATGGAGTTTGGTGAGACGCGTGGGGTTTTGGTGGGGCGCGTGGGTCTCTGCATGTGGAATGTGGAGCTTCTACGCTCGGGTCCGTTCCAATCTCCCCCCCCCAACCCTCCGCTGGCCCTAGTGTAGACCCCGATCCGGCCTCTGCCGCCGCAAGTTGGCACAGGCTTGGAAAATCCACGCCAGGGAGGAGTTCACGCGGCTCGTTTACCGTTCGCACCGAGGTGGCGGCGAGAGTTTAATTAGCGGAGGGATGTTTTGACGTGGTCCCGAGAGGCCACCGGGCCGGGTCGCAGAGGGACGCTTTGCGGCTGTAGCGGCGATCCGCGGGGTTTGTCTCGGTCCACTCGGTGTGATTATATTCTTTGTTGTGTATTCGAGACCCATATCTGACAGGGCCCTTAACTATACACATCTGGCAGTCGATCAGCATTGGTTCGAGCGAGCCTGGCTCTGCTGGTGAGACACTGAATGTTGAAACCGGTCCAGCGTTTGCTTGTGCTGAATCAATATATGCAAGGCTTGAAATCAGTCCAGAGTTTGCTTGCTTTGAACCTGCGTTGAACCAATATAGGCAAGCCTGACTCTGCTGATCAGGACCCATAGACTTGCATAGGAACCCACAGGCTCGTACAGAGACCCATAGACTCACACAGAAAATTCATAGACTTGCACGTAGAATCCTTGGACTCCAAAAGAGACCCATAGACAAACAGAGACTCGTAGACTTGCACAGAGACTCGCACGGAGAGGTGACCTTGCAGTGTGGTAATTGAGTGGTTGCGAGTTTTGTTGAGTTGGTGAGTGTTGTTGCGACCTGCAGTACGGTGGTGGCTGTTGAACACAGCGTGGGGTACAGACAAGGGGTGAAGTTCACGGGAACGGCCCCCGTGATGGTGGTGGCAGTCACGGCGATGGAAGAGTGTTTTGGAGGCAACAGACCCATTGCCTCTATAAATAACTACACAAAGTTGGTTGTGTGACAACGTGACCGGGCTGGGTTAGTCTGAGTGGTTTTCGCGTGTATTTATGAGCTGCCCCGCTGGTGTTGAGACTTTGGAATCCAGGGGGTCGCCGGTCCGATTCCGTCTCCCACTGCAGGGGGATGAAGAGGTGGGGGCTGGTTTTGTAAATCCTCACGCCGCTCTCTGCGCGTGCAGTGGCGGTGGTGTAATCGTGTTGCTCGTGAGAGCTCGGATGTTAGGCGCCATGCTGCTGGGGTGGGGGATTAGTACCACGGTGGCTAGGAGATGTTAACTACCTCGCCTGGTATGCAGGAGGTCGTGGGGTCTTGATCCCGACCTCAACGCCTGAATATTTGGAGTTTGCACGTACTCCTCGTGGTGGCGTGGATTTTTCTCCAGGTCCTCCGGTTTTTCCCTCCTCATTTAGAATCAACCTGCGTTTAGCGTACTTGGTTGCTATGAATTTCCACATGGTAAGCCACTTAGTTGAGCTGTCCTTTGTTGCCAGGTCGCTTCTGAAAAAGAGCTACATAGCTCAGTGGGCCTGACCTGGTAAAACAAAGAAATGTGTAGTTTTTTAGTGGGAGATGCGACTCAGCGTTAGCGTGTCCGCTGCTTGTTGAAGGGGCTTCGCAGTTCGAATCTAGCAGGCTGCCCTGGTTAATACTGCAGTGTGTGTCGACCACGAAATACTGCCGACTGCTTACTACGCGCCGTCTGCTTTACTCGCAATAGAGATCCCGCGACGACATTCCGAGCGAGTAGGAAGCCCTTGTCTGCCGGCGTCACAAATCCAACTTTTAAGAAAAATTATGCCGCAAAGTCGTCCGTTGAGGTCATGCAGCAGCAGCGGCAGCAGCAGTTGCAGCAGCGGTCATCGCCATGCACTGCAAAACGACCGGCCTGCTGCTGCAGCAGCAGCAGTAGCGGCGCCCTCCTGCGTGGCGATCGCCCTGCAGCCCCATGGGAGCCACAGCGGCAACAGCAGCCACAGCGGCCGCGCGCTCCTCGGCTATCGCTGCTGACGACGTTGGGCAGACGGAGTCGCTCGAGGGGACAACGGAACCTGGTCTGGGGCTTTGAGTCGTCACCTCCTCCGAGACCGCGTGTCCTCGCGTGGCAGACCGGCACCCGGATTGTCCATTACCTGGTTTTAAGTCGTGTTTGGTACGATTCGGTTTGCGTGGCTCACTGAATGTAGTGTAAATGCCGGGTGGCTGGTCAGCGCTGGAGCGAGTGGCTTGCAATCGGAAAGGTCGTGGGTTCAGTTCCTGTTTGCGGGGGTGGGGGGGTTAGGGACTGCGAGGTCAATAAAATCGCTAGTGCTTTGTGGGGTTGTCCGAGACGGAGAGACTCGTAGACCCTACCACAAGAATGTGGAATTTCCACCACTGGCTCAGGGCTGTAGAGAGGCGAAGTGTTACCAATGCTACAATGTCCCCACGTGTCTCTGCGTCCCGTGTGTCCCGCACCTTCAGGCATGGCCAGCCGGTGAGATGGACGGGAAGAGCAACGGGGACGTGCGTGGACAGCGCAGGACGCACAGACGGTGAGAGTGAGTCGTGGCGATGGGCCAGTTGTGGAGGGAGTTCGCCTACCCTGAGTGCTTATGGCCAGCTCCGGTTTGACAGCGGAGGTCTCACTCCGGATTAGTCCAGCGGCATTATCTTTTCATTGGCTGCGTAGTCCTGCTGTGCGGAAGCTACCTGGTGTGTTGCTCCACACGAAGCTCCGGGCTTTTTTTGACAACAGGAAATGCCTTCCCTTTTCTGTGCTTGTGAAGCGTGTGCAGCCCTTTTAAAGGTTCAACACATTCAGGCGGGCCTCCCTAATATCCATCCTGGGTTTAACCAGGCTGGCATTTTGTAAGGCGCTCACAGATGTAGACACGGCGCCATAAGTGACCTCCTTTTGCAGGTGTGGCAGTGCTGGCTCGGTCATGTAGCCTGCATGCCCAGCCACCATGTGCCCAAGCAGTTTGCTCAAGCAGTTTGGCCGGATCGAGGGAGCTAAATGGGCACGGCACGGGCTGGAGAAGATATTGGCTGATGTGGTACGGGAAGATATGGAGCTGAGTGGACTTGCCGATGACCGGTACCGGCGGTGTCAAGATCAGCCTCTGTGAATGAGGAGGCTCGTGAAGGACGCAGTCGCCCTCCAACAACAGCAGAGGGGAGAGGAGCGACGCTCGCAACAACGAACGTAGTCACCGGGCGGCAATAAAACGCTGCGAAGTGGCACAGTGGGGAGCACGGGTGGTTCCTCGGTCTCGGTCAACCCATGGCACCTGGGTCTCGCCCGTGAGCTGTCAGTGAGCTCGCCGCACTTGACGTGGCCTCGAGATGCAACTAGCCCTGGCACAAGCGCCGTGGTGACGTCACCGTCACTCATTGGCAAATGGTGCTTCTGTTATTATTGTTGTACACCTGTGTGTGTGCGCGTGTGCGTGTGTGTGGTGCGTGTGTGTATGTGTGATCGTGTATATATGGTGAGCAATAGTACAGCGGTTAGCACGCTGCGCTACAAACCCGGCAACCCGAGTTCGACTCCCCGCTCATGGCCAACACCAAGGAAGATTATTTGAACCAGTCCTGGGCCTCCCCTAGGTGGCCTTAAATGAGTTCCTGGTGCGGTCTGTAAAACATCGCCACTGGCGAGACAAAGGTGGCCGGGCGTGATGCTGGCCACCCACTTCCTCGTGTGCCGTGCCGACTTTCGTAGGTGCTCACTAACAGCACTTGCCTCAACAGTCTGTCAAGGCTATACAGGAGATCTGTCTTTCTATCTTGTATGTACACGTGTGCGTGTGTGCGTGTGCATTGAGCGCAGCCCCCCGCCCGTGCCAGGCGAGGGGGGGGCGTTGAAGGCGTCTGCCGCGGGGGGCGCGCCGCCCCCCCACATGGAGCCCCCCGTGCGCTCGCAGCTCTTCTCCATCCAGCAGTTTGGGGCCCGCGACAACCTCGTCAAGTGCCTCCTGCTGAGCCGCGAGAGGGAGTACACCACCCCCCGAGACTTCCGGTGAGCGGGCCACGCACGGGGGTGGAGGGGGGGGCACGGGGAGTTACGGGGAGTCACGCACGTGTACCCCGACTCCTGAACGTTGAACCCTGACCCTTGATGTGTGAACTTCGAACTCTTGACCGTGAATCTGTGCGTCTTGACTGTTTCACTTTCTTGCGACTGTTCTGACAGATCCCCGTGTCCCCCCTGCGTCACTACGTCCCCGCTTCTCCATGTCACCCCGTGACCCCCCGTGAACCCCCGTGACCCCGTGTCCCCTCTTGCCCCCATATCTCCCCCGCGCCACCGCGTTTCCTCGCCTTAATGCCCCCGCTTCCTCATGTGCCCCCGTGACCCCCCCCCCACCCCGTGCAGGTTCCACGTGGGCACGTACAACGTGAACGGGCAGTCCCCGGGCGAGGCGCTCGGCCCGTGGCTCGCAGGCGACCCCGAGCCGCCTGACGTCTACTGCGTGGGGTAAAGGCAGCCTCGCAATCCATCCGTGCGGCTCCACGCGTGTGCGCTTAGTTCCGTGAGGCTCCCCCCAGTGTCTCCGCATCCCGTGTCCCCATGTCTCCACTGTCCCCGTGTTTTCCCGTGTCTCCCCCGTCTCCCCGCGGTGTCTCCGCTGTGTCTCATAGCTGGATCTCCTCGCTGTTTGCCTTGACCCGCATCTCCTCGTGTCTCCTCCCCATGTGCCTACGTCCCCGTGTCTCTGCCATAGGTCTCAACGTGAGCCGAGTGGGTTTTCAAGCACTGTGATACCATCAATAGGCCAGGGCTCTGTGAATGAGTGTTCGAGTGAGTGTTTTGGCTCGTGTGTGTGTGTGTGTCGGCAATTGCGTGAGTCAGTGTGTATGTGTGTTAGGATGGGTGGTGGTCGCGGGTTGCTGAGGAGATGGAGTCTGCCTCAGTGGCCCGCGATCACAAATCACTATTCAACTCCATCAAAAAAGTAACCTGCAGCACCACACCTATTACCATCATTAGGGGAAAAAACGGTGATCCAATCTCCGACCCCCAGGAACAGGTTTGCAGATTTGCTGAGCATTTCTGTGAGGTCCTGGGGGAGGGAAAATCTCTCAGCCAGGAAAACATCATGGCACAAAGTGGGGATGACCCTGCTGAGGCTGCGGTGCCTCAAATATTGGAAGAGGTCACCCCCTGTGAGTGGTTGGCTGAGGTGCCAGCTGTTGAGGAAGTACTGAGGGCGATCCGGAGTCTGAGACCAGGAAAGGCACCGGGCAGAGATGATTTCCCAAGCGAAATGCTGAGGGAGGGTGGCGTTTGTGCACAGACTGCCCTATATGACATCATAACAACAGTCTGGACCACTGGACGGGTTCCGCAGGACTTGAAGGATGCCCTGGTGGTCCCCCTCTTTAAGAAGGGGGACCGTATCGACTGTAACAACTACAGGGGCATCTCACTCCTGAGTGTGCCGGGTAAGGTCCTGGCAAGGATTATTCAACATCGCCTTGCTAGGCACGCTGAGGAGAGGCTTGCGGAGCCTCAATGTGGTTTCAGGAAAGGGCGGTCCTGCACAGATGCCATATTTTCTGTCCATCTGCTACAGCAGAGGTGTAGGGAATTCCAAAAAGACCTACATCTCTGCTTTATTGACCTAGTCAAGGCCTAGATACCATCAGTAGGACTGGGCTCTGGGTTGTTCTTCGTGCTTTCGGAGTCCCTGACCCTCTGCTCACGATCATTAAGGACCTTCATGATGGTGAGCGGGCCCGGGTAAAACTACGTGGCCGGGAGTCGGAGCCTTTCCCTGTACACCTTGGGGTGCGACAGGGATGTCCTCTGGCTCCCACATTATTTAACATCTATTTCGACCACGTAGTTCGTAAAGCCTTCAATAGATGTACCGGTGGAATTTCCATTTGGTACAGATATAATGGGAGGCTGATCGACGCCCGGGTGCGATCAAGGGTTGGCTCCCTATTGGTCAACCACGTTATGTATGCCAATGATTTGGTAATAGCTGCTCATTCAGAAGAGGAGTTGGAGACGCTGCTGCTGAGACTGGAGTGTGCCACTAAGAGGTGGGGCCTTACCATCAGCCCCACCAAAACTAAGCACCTGCCTGGGTATTTTGTACCATCGGACACTCCACCCCCACAACTCCCAATCGGTGATGGGGCAGTTGTGGAGAGTTTCCCATACCTGGGCAGTGTGCTTATGACCGGCTCCAGTTTATCAGCAGAGGTCTCACTCCGAATCAGTCAAGCGGCAATATCTTTTCATTGGTTGCGTAATGCTGTGTGGAAGCTACCTGGTCTGTCGCTCCGCACGAAGCTTCAGGTCTTCTCGGCCACGGTCATTCCCTCCCTTCTCTACGCTTGCGAAACGTGGACCCCCCTAATGGAGCATCTTCGCCGGTTGAAAACATTTAGGCTGGCCTGCCTACGATCCATCCTGGGTTTAACCAGGCTGGATTGTGTGAGGAGCTCACAAATCCTTGAAAGATCTGGGCAAAGTCCCAACAGTGAGCTCCTCCGGCAGGCAAGGCTGCGTTGGCTGGGTCATGTAGCCCGCATGCCCAGCCACCGCATGCCTAAACAGCTTTTGTTCGGCCGGATCGAGGGGGCTAGGCGGGCGCGGCACGGGCTAGAGAAGAGATGGAGTGATCTTCTTGGTTCTTTCGGTAAAGTCACGTAGAAGGGAAGTAATAAAATATTAAAACATAATAAAATAAAATAATTCTCACGACGTTTCGGCTACAACGCAAGGTGAAGACGGCTGCTTGCGTTGTAGCTGAAACGTCGTGAGAATTATTTTATTTTATTATGTTTTATTTTTATTATTTTATTACTTCCCTTCTACGTGACTTTACCGAAAGAACCAAGAAGATGAATCCCTGCAGTCACGAAAGCTTTAAATCGAAAAGATGGAGTGATGTCGTACAGGAGGACGTGGAGCTGAGTGGACTTGCCGATGACTGGTACCAGCGGTGTCAAGATCGGCCTCCGTGAAGGAGGCTCGTGAAGGACGCTACTGGGCAGTTGGAGGCAGTCGCCCTCCAACAACAACGGATGGCGGTGGAGCGACGCTCACAACAACGAGCAGAGCGCCGGGTGGCTAAAGCACAGCAAGTTGGTACAGTAGGGGGCACAGGTGGTGCATCAGCTAGTCATCTCGGTCATCTCGGCCGGTCGACCCGTGGCACCTGGGTCTGCCCCGTGACCTCCTGCCGGCGAGCGTTCGACACTTCACGTGGCCTCAAGGTGCACTTGGCCTGGCACAAGCGTCGTGGTGACGTCACCGCCACTTAGTGGCGAATGGCGGTTGTTGTTGTTGTTGTGTTAGTGGGAGTGTGTGTGTTAGTGTGAGAGTGAGTGTGTTAGCGTGAGTCTGTGTCTGTGTGTGTTAGTGTGAGAGTGAGTGTGTTAGCGTGAGTCTGTGTGTGTGTGTGTGTGTTAGTGGGAGAGTGAGTGTGTTAGCGTGAGTCAGTGTGTGTGTGTGTTAGTGGGAGAGTGAGTGTGTTAGCGTGAGTCAGTGTGTGTTAGTGGGAGTGTGGGTGTGTTAGCGTGAGTCAGTGTGTGTGTGTGTTAGTGGGAGAGTGAGTGTGTTAGCGTGAGTCAGTGTGTGTGTGTTAGTGGGAGAGTGAGTGTTAGCATGAGTCAGTGTGTGTGTGCGTTACTGAGAGAATGAGTGTGTTAGCGTGAGTCAGTGTGTGTGTGCGTTAGTGGGAGAGTGACTGTGTTAGCGTGAGTGTGTGTGTTAGTGGGAGCTGGCCTGCCTACGATCCATCCTGGGTTTAACCAGGCTGGATTGTGTGAGGAGCTCACAAATCCTTGAAAGATCTGGGCAAAGTCCCATCGGTGAGCTCCTCCGGCAGGCAAGGCTGCGTTGGCTGGGTCATGTAGCTCGCATGCCCAGCCACCGCATGCCTAAACAGCTTTTGTTCGGCCGGATCGAGGGGGCTAAGCGGGCGCGGCATGGGCTAGAGAAGAGATGGAGTGATGTCGTACAGGAGGACGTGGAGCTGAGTGGACTTGCCGATGACTGGTACCAGCGGTGTCAAGATCGGCCTCAGTGGAGGAGGCTCGTGAAGGACGCTACTGGGCAGTTGGAGGCAGTCGCCCTCCAACAATAACAGAGGGCGGAGGAGCGACGCTCACAACAACGAGCGGAGCGCCGGGTGGCTAAAGCACAGCAAGTTGGTACAGTAGGGGGCACAGGTGGTGCATCAGCCAGTCATCTCGGTCATCTCGGTCAGTCGACCCGTGGCACCTGCTGGGTCTGCCAGCGAGCGTTCGACACTTCGCGTGGCCTCAAGGTGCACTTGGCCTGGCACAAGCGTCGTGGTGATGTCACCGCCACTTAGTGGCGAATGGCGGTTGTTGTTGTTGTTGTTGTGTGAGTGTGTTAGCGTGAGTGTGTGTGTTAGTGTGAGTGTGTGTGTGTGGTGTGTGTGTGTGTTAGTGTGAGTGTGTTAGCTTGAGTGTGTGTGTGTGTTAGTGTGAGTGTGTTAGCGTGAGCGAGTTGATGGGTGGGAAAGTGACCAGCGCCTTTCCAAGTGCGACACCTCAACTCTGGGGCTCGTTGGCCCTTCGAGGCAAGGAGACCTCCGAGGCGGCTACACATCTTCACTTCTCCACGAAAAACGCCTCTTTGAAATGGCTTTGTCTCTCTCTTCAGTTATTTTCAAACCTCTCTCTCTCTCACTTCTTTTTTTCTCAGTTAATGTTTAACTATTTTTGCCTTGCCATGCATAGCGCAATTTATGATTTTAAGTTATAATTACGAATTATTATAAGTGGGTGTGTGAGTGAACTCTTGGGTGAGGGTTGTAACGTGTAAGTGTGGTGGATGAGATGAAACTTTCTTGCTGGTAGAGCAGGTGATCTGGGATTCAGCAGCAGCAGCAGCAGCAGGATCTGGCCGAGGGAAGGTGGTGGTGGTGGTGGTGGCGCAGACGTCATTGGAAGTCGCGGTGAGCCGACGACCCGTTGACCCGATGTGCGCGACCTCTGCGCGTGGTGCCGCAGGTTCCAGGAGCTGGACCTCAGCAAGGAGGCGTTTGTGTTCAGCGACTCCCCCAAGGAGGACGAGTGGCTCCGCGCCGTCACCGAGAGCCTGCACCCTGGGGCGCGATACGTTAAGGTGCTCGCCCAGCCGCTCGCCCACTCGCTCACCCGCTCGCCCACTCGCTCACCCGCTCGCCCACTCGCTCACCCGCTCGCCCACTCGCTCACCCGCTCGCCCACTCGCTCACCCGCTCAGCCACTCACTCAGCCGCTCACCCACTCACCCACTCACTCACCCGCTCGCCCACTCGCTCACCCGCTCACCCACTCGCTCACCCGCTCGCCCACTCACTCATCCGCTCAGCCACTCACCCAGCCGCTCACCCACTCGCTCACCCGCTCAGCCACTCACTCAGCCGCTCACCCACTCACTCACCCGCTCGCCCACTCGCTCACCCGCTCACCCACTCGCTCACCCGCTCGCCCACTCACTCACCCGCTCACTCGCCCACTCACTCACCCGCTCGCCCACACACTCACCCGCTCACCCACTCACCCGCTCACCCACACACTCACTCACCCGCTCAGCCAATCACTCACCCGCTCGCCCACACACTCACCCGCTCGCCCACTCACTCACCCGCTCGCCCACTCACTCACCCGCTCGCCCACTCACTCACCCGCTCACCCACTTACTCACCTGCTCAGCCAATCACTCACCCGCTCGCCCACACACTCACCCGCTCACCCGCTCACCCACTCACTCACTCACTCACCCGCTCAGCCAATCACTCACCCGCTCACCCACTTGCCCAGCCACTTGCTCAGCTGCTCACCCTCAGCTCGCCGGGACCTCCGCTGTGCCCGCCCTCGCTTCTCTCGGCTCTCATTCCGCTTCTCTGCTTTGCTTCGGCTCCCCTTGGCGAGCGGTTCATCTGCTTATCCATCTTGTGGTGCACAGCGCATCAAGTAGCTTTTCGAAAGGCGCTGTGTGCATGTGACTTATTATTACTGCCTGCCTGTGTGCGCCGTGACAGTCTTCATAGGTGCTCGCTAACATCACTTGCCCCAACATTCTGTTACAGGCTATACAGGGGATCTTTGTCTTTGTGTGTGGGCATCTTCTTTGTGCGTGTGCTGGCCACGCTGAGCGTGAAAATGCGTTTACGGAGTTGATGGTCCCCATGAAACGCTCATTCATGTGACCTGGTAGTCAGCCCCAGCTCCCCTCCCACTCACCATCTCCCTCCCTCTCTCTCATGGCCTAGCCGTCACCCCCAGCTCCCCCACTCACCATCTCTCTCTCTCTCTCTCATGGACATCGTAGGGGGAATTGAAAATTCGTTAGCAACATCTGTACTCAGACGGCGCCGCTGAGATGCTGCTGGGTATGATTCTGTGTTTTGGGTATGGTGCTCGTGTACTGCTGCGTGCAGTCGACGTTGGTGGGGGATGACGCTGGTATGATGCTGTGTGTAAGGCGAGGCTGGTGCGGCTGGTGTGACGATTCTGATGGTTTCATGGCAGGAGTAGGTGAGCCGTGAAACTGGTCGGTGTGATGCCGTGTGTGGTATGACGCCGGTGTGACGTAGGTGAAGCTGGTGAGGCTGGTGGGGATGATGCTGCTGGTGTTCGCTCGGGAGGAGCACGCCCCGTTCATCTCCGAGGTGGAGGCGGAGACCGTGGGGACCGGAATCATGGGCAAGATGGTGAGGGCGCTCACCACGCTCGCCACGCTCACCACGCTCACCATGCTCACCACACTCCCTACACTCACCACACTCACCACGCTCACCACACTCACCACACTCACCACACTCCCTACACTCACCACACTCACCACGCTCACCACACTCACCACACTCACCACACTCCCTACGCTCACCACGCTCACCACGCTCACCACGCTCACCACACTCACCACGCTCACCACACTCACCACGCTCACCATGCTCACCACGCTCACCACGCTCACCACACTCACCACTCTCACCACGCTCACCACACTCACCACACTCACCACACTCACCACACTCACCACGCTCACCACACTCACCACGCTCACCACGCTCACCACACTCACCACACTCACCACACTCACCTTGCTCACCACACTCACCTCGCTCACCACACTCCCTATACTCACCACGCTCACCACACTTACCACACTCACCACGCTCACCACACTCCCTACACTCACCACGCTCACCACGCTCACCACACTCACCACACTCACCACGCTCACCATACTCACCACACTCACCACACTCACCACACTCACCACGCTCACCACACTCCCTACACTCACCACGCTCACCACGCTCACCACGCTCACCACACTCACCACACTCACCACGCTCACCACACTCGCCACACTCACCACACTCACCTTGCTCACCACACTCACCACACTCACCACACTCACCACACTCGCACTCAATCGCCTAAAACACTCACCAAACTCGCACTCACCACGTTCACCATGCTCATTCACCGCACTCGACACTCGGCACGCTCACGCTCACCAACACCCGCCGTCCGCCACTAAGTGATGGTGACGTCACCACACTCGCTCACGTTCGCCACACTCGCCACGCTCACCACTGTCACGCTCGCCACACTCACGTTCGCCACGCTCACCACGCTCGCCACGCTCACGCTCACCTCGCTCTCCACTCTCACCGCTGTGTGTGGGGGATCTCTGTCTTGGCGTGCGCGTCGCTGTGCGTGCGCCAGGGAAACAAGGGCGGCGTGGCGGTGCGCTTCCTGCTGCACAGCTCGGCGCTGTGCGTGGTGAACGCTCACCTCGCCGCCCACACCGAGGAGGTGGAGCGCCGCAACCAGGACTACCGCGACATCGTCTCGCGCCTCTCCTTCCCGCAGATCGACGCCACCCTGCCGCGCCTCTCCATCCCCAACCACGAGTGAGTGGGCCGCCCTGCGGGGTCCGCCCCGGCCACGCGTGACGAGCTGCCCCGGCACGGCCCAGCGGCAGGGGGAGTTGTTTACCTCTCGTTGCAGAAGTGGGCGGTTCGAATTCCGGCACGCCGCCCTGGTTAACGCTGCGTTGCGTATCGACCGCGAATGACTCCCGCTCACCTTGGCAGCTTCGCTCCCGGTGGCCCGGCGTGGGCGGCCGCCTAACAGATCAGAGATTTGCCCATTTATGGAAGAAAGTGGGCGTGGCGTTGGCTGAAGGGGCGTGTCTTTGTGGATCGTTAAACGCGATTAATTGTATCGATTCCGCTCCATAGTAAACAAACATCAAAAAGAGTGGGTTAATCGTAATTTGCGGGTTAATCACCGTGCCGATTCATTGCCGATTGATCCGTGGATCGAGTGATGATGTGACACGCCCCCCATCCTTTGATTGCCTAATATTGGTGAGATCGGTGATTCCGTCGCAGTCCAGTTTTATTGTGACCGCAGCGCCGAGCCGACCTCCACACGCGGCGGTCGCGAACGGCAATTGTCCCCGGCATCCTGCGGGGGCTCCCGTGTGGGCTCCTGTGTGGGCTCCTGAGTGGGCTCCTGTGTGGGCTCCCGTGTGGGCTCCTGTGTGGGCTCCTGAGTGGGCTCCTGTGTGGGCTCCTGTGTGGGCTCCCGTGTGGGCTCCTGTGTGGGCTCCCGTGTGGGCTCCTGTGTGGGCTCCTGAGTGGGCTCCTGTGTGGGCTCCTGTGTGGGCTCCTGTGTGGGCTCCTGTGTGGGCTCCTGTGTGGGCTCCTGTGTGGGCTCCTGTGTGGGCTCCTGTGTGGGCTCCCGAGTGGGCTCCTGAGTGGGCTCCTGTGTGGGCTCCTGTGTGGGCTCCCGTGTGGGCTCCTGTGTGGCCTCCTGTGTGGGCTCCTGTGTGGGCTCCTGTGTGGGCTCCTGTGTGGGCTCCTGTGTGGCCTCCTGTGTGGGCTCCTGTGTGGGCTCCTGTGTGAGCTCCTGAGTGGGCTCCTGTGTGGCCTCCTGTGTGGGCTCCTGTGTGAGCTCCTGAGTGGGCTCCTGAGTGGGCTCCTGTGTGGGCTCCTGTTTGAGCTCCTGTGTGGGCACCTGTGTGGGCTCCTGTGTGGGCTTCTGTGTGGGCTCCTGTGTGAGCTCCTGTGTGGGCTCCTGTGTGGGCTCCTGTGTGGGCTCCTGTGTGGGCTCCTGTGTGGGCTCCCGTGTGGGCTCCTGAGTGGGCTCCCGTGTGGGCTCCTGAGTGGGCTCCCGTGTGAGCTCCTGAGTGGGCTCCCGTGTGGGCTCCTGAGTGGGCTCCTGTGTGAGCTCCTGAGTGGGCTCCTGTGTGGGCTTCTGTGTGGGCTCCTGTGTGGCCTCCTGTGTGGGCTCCTGTGTGGGCTCCTGTGTGGGCTCCTGTGTGGGCTCCCGTGTGGGCTCCTGAGTGGGCTCCCGTGTGGGCTCCTGAGTGGGCTCCCGTGTGAGCTCCTGAGTGGGCTCCCGTGTGGGCTCCTGAGTGGGCTCCTGTGTGAGCTCCTGAGTGGGCTCCTGTGTGGGCTTCTGTGTGGGCTTCTGTGTGAGCTCCTGTGTGGGCTCCTGTGTGGGCTCCTGTGTGGGCTCCTGTGTGGGCTCCTGTGTGGGCTCCCGTGTGGGCTCCTGAGTGGGCTCCCGTGTGGGCTCCTGAGTGGGCTCCCGTGTGAGCTCCTGAGTGGGCTCCCGTGTGGGCTCCTGAGTGGGCTCCTGTGTGAGCTCCTGAGTGGGCTCCTGTGTGGGCTTCTGTGTGGGCTCCTGTGTGGCCTCCTGTGTGGGCTCCTGTGTGGGCTCCTGTGTGGCCTCCGCGGGGGAGGGGGGGCGGTAGCAAGTGTCACTTGGCCTTTGTCTCCTGGGCAGCATCATCCTGTGGCTGGGCGACCTCAACTACCGGCTGACTGAGGTGGACGTGGAGAAGGTGAAGCTGCTCATCGAGGACCAGGACTTCCAGACGCTGCAGCAGCATGACCAGGTTGGGGGGCAGGGGGGGTGGGGGGGGTGGGGAGGGGGGTCGCCCAGAGCCGGCCATTGTGTGTCGAGCCTCAGCCGAGTCCACGCCGGTTACGCAACTCGGGTGTGAGTGTGTCTGTGGCCGTACGTGTGTGAGTGTGTGTGGCTGGCCATGCGTGTGTGTGTGTGTGCGCGTGCGTGTGTGTGTGTGCGTCTGTGTGCGTGTGTGTGTGTGCGTGTTTGTGTGTATGTGGCTGGCCGTGCGTGTGTGTGCGTGTGTCTGTGGCCGTGCCTGTGTGTGTGTATGTGGCTGGCAGTGCGTGTGTGTGTGCGTGTGCGTGTGTGTGCGTGTATGTGGCTGGCCGTGCGTGTGTGTGCGCGCGTGTGCGTGTGTGTGCGTGTGTGTGCGACGGAGGGGCAACCTTTGTCTGGTGCGGCGTGCCAGCTGAGCCAGCAGAGGGGGAAGAAGGCGGCGTTCTCGGGCTACTCGGAGGGAGCCGTCACCTTCCAGCCCACGTACAAGTACGACACGGGCTCCAGCAAGTGGGACACGAGGTGCGGGAGGGGGAGCGCGAGGCACTCTGCACACTCGCCGTGCAGTCGCTGCACAACACTGTCCATTGCTGTCGCTGACTATGCTGATGACGTCACTCACTGCCGCTGACGATGGTGATGACGTCACTCACTGCCTCTGACGATGGTGATGACGTCACTCGCTGCCTCTGACGATGGTGATGACGTCACTCACTGCCGCTGACAATGGTGATGACGTCACTCACTGCTGCTGACAATGGTGATGACGTCACTCACTGCCTCTGACGATGGTGATGACGTCACTCACTGCCTCTGACGATGGTGATGACGTCACTCACTGCCGCTGACGATGGTGATGACGTCACTCGCTGCCTCTGACGATGGTGATGACGTCACTCACTGTCTCTGACGATGGTGATGATGTCACTCACTGCCGCTGACAATGGTGATGACGTCACTCACTGCTGCTGACAATGGTGATGACGTCACTCACTGCCGCTGACAATGGTGATGACGTCACTCACTGCTGTTGAGAATGGTGATGACGTCATTCACTGCCTCTGACGATGCTGACGATGTCACTCACTGCCTCTGACGATGGTGATGACGATGGTGATGACGTCACTCACTGCCTCTGACGATGCTGATGACGATGCTGATGACGTCACTCGCTGCCTCTGACGATGCTGATGACGTCACTCGCTGCCTCTGACGATGGTGATGACGATGGTGATGACGTTGGTAGTGACGATGGTGATGACGATGGTGATGACGTTGGTAGTGACGATGGTGATGACGTGGTGATTGCCGCTGTGCCCCCCGTGCGTTGCCAGCGAGAAGTGCCGGGTGCCGGCGTGGTGCGACCGCGTGCTGTGGAAGGGCCCCGGCGTGCAGCTGCGGCGCTACGGCAGCCACATGGAGCTGTGCGTGAGCGACCACAAGCCCGTCAGCGCCGTCTTCGACATCGCGGTGCGCGGGGGGGCAAGGGGGGGAGGGGGGGGCAAGGGGGGGAGGGGGGGTAAGGTGGGGGAGGGGCAAAGTGGGTTAGGGGAAAGGGGGGCAGGCACCTGGTGGACGTGGTTGTGGTGGAGGTGGTGGTGGACATGGTGGTGGTTGACAAGGTGGTGGACATGTTGGTGATGGTGGTGTTTGACCTGGTGTTGGTTGACATGGTGGTGGACGCGGTGGTGGTCGACATGGTGGTGGACATGGTGGTGGTGCACGCAGTGATGATTGACATGGTGGTGATGTACGTGGTGGTGGTTGACGTGGTGGTGGTTGACGTGGTGGTGGTTGACGTGGTGGTGGTTGACGTGGTGGTGGTGGACATGGTGGTGGTTGACATGGTGGTTAACATGGTGGTAGTGCACTCAGTGATGGTTGACATGGTGGTGATGGACGTGGTGGTGGTTGACATGGTGGTGGTTGACATGTTGGTGATGGACGTGGTGGTGGACGCGGTTAACGTGGTGGACGTAGCGGTTGGGCATGGTGATGTACGACGTGGTGGACGTGTTGATGGGCTTTGTGATGGACGTGGTGGTGTACACTGTGGTTGACGTGGTGGTGGACGTGGTGGTGTACACTGTGGTTGTGGACGTGGTGGTGAACGTGGTGGTGTACATTGTGGTTGACGTGGTGGTTGACGTGGTGGTGGACATGGTGGTGGTGGTGGACGCAGGTGAGCGTGCTCGACACGGGGCTCTACAAGCGCGTCTTTGAGGACGTCGTCAAGACCATGGACAAGATGGAGAACGAGTGCCTTCCCTCGGTGACGCTCAGCCAGCGCGAGGTGACGGCACGTACGAGTGCGTGTGCGTGTACACGCGTGTGTGTGTGCGTGTACACACGCGTGTGTGTGTGCGTGTACACACGCGTGTGTGTGTGCGTGTACACACGCGTGTGTGTGTGCGTGTACACGTGTACGCGCGTGTGTGTGTACGTGTACGCGCGTGTGTGTGTGTACGTGCGTGTACACGCGTGTGTGTGTGTACGTGTGTGTACGTGCGTGTACACGCGTGTGTGTGCGTGTACGCGTGTGTGCATGTGCGCGCGTGTGTGTGTACGTGCGTGTACGCGCGTGTGTGTACGTGTGTGCGCGTGTACGCGCGTGTGTGTGTGCGTGCGTGCGTGTACGCGCGTGTGTGTGTGTGCGTGCGTGTACGCGCGTGTGTGTGTGCGTGCGTGTACGCGCGTGTGTGTGCGTGCGTGTACGCGCGTGTGTGTGTGTGCGTGTACGCGCGTGTGTGTGTGTGCGTGTACGCGCGTGTGTGTGTACGTGCGTGTACGCGCGTGTGTGTGTACGTGCGTGAACGCGTGTGCGTGTGTGTGTGTACGTGCGTGTGTGTGTACGTGCGTGAACACGTGTGTGTGTGTACGTGCGTGTGTGTGTGTACGTGTGTGTGTACGTGCGTGTGTGAGTGTGTGTGCGTGCGTGTACACGCGTGTGTGTGCGTGTACAAGTGTGACGATTATCTGAACCGGTCCTGGGCCTCCCCTAGGTCGACTCAGCCTCAAATGAGTACCTGGTGCGGTGTGTAAACATCGCCACTAGGGAAACAAAGGCGGGCGTTGTACTGGCCGCCGTGTGCCGTGCCGGCCTTCATAGGTGTGCTCGCTGACAGCATCAGTCAGTTAAGGCTACACAGGGGATCTTTTTGTAAACCTCAGCGTAGCTGTATACCATGTGTGTGTGCCGTGTATGTGTGGGGGTTGTTGTACCGAGTGTGATACTGTGATACTGTGTGCGTGTGTGCCGGGGTGTAACGTGCGTTTGCGGAGTTTCATGAATGTGTGTGCGTGTGTGTGTGTGTGCCGCGTGTGTGCCCCAGTTTGTGTTCCCGGAGGTGAAGTTCCTGCAGCTGCAGGTGCAGTCGCTGTTCATCACCAACGACGGGCAGGGCCCGTGCCAGTTCGAGTTCATCTGCAAACTCGACGAGACCTCCTACTGCAAGGAGTGGCTCAGCGCCTCGCCCAGCAAAGCCATCATCAAGCCCGGTGAGTTCCCGGTGACGTCGAGCGGTGCCCAGTGAGTTTCCGGTGAGTTCTTGTGGTGTTGGCTAAGATCCCGGTGAGTTCTCGTGGTGTCGGCTAAGATCCCGGTGAGATCTCGTGGTGTCCCGTGAGTTTCCGTATCGACGCGGCTCCTCCTCGTGCGGGACTCTGGGGACACGGTCCCCGACTTCTCTCCTGCACCGCCCCGCTCCACCCTCCCCCCTCCCCCCTCTCAGGAGGCACTATGGAGGTGGAGCTGGAGGTCTACGTGAACAAGTCGACCGCCCCCCGCCTCAACTCAGGCGACGACCGCGTGGAGGACATCCTGGTGTTGCACCTGGCGGGTGGCAAGGACTACTTTGTTACCGTGAGCGGCTCCTACCTGCCCAGCTGCTTCGGCTCCTCGCTGCAGGCACTGTGCCGCATGCGCGAGCCGGTGCGAGAGGTGCGGCCCGGCGTGCTGCTCGCGCTGGTGAGGCCACACGGCGGCAACGGCAACGCCGCCACCACCACCTACACCAAGTCACTCCACCGCCACCACCACCTACACCAAGTCACTCCACCGCCACCAGCAGCAGTTTCAGCAGCAGCAGCAGTTTCAGCAGTAGCAGTACCAGCACCATACACTTGTAGTGTAGTTAGAAGAGCAGCCACCATCCCATAGAGACCCACAGCCTCACACAGAGACACACAGACTCACACAGAGACCCACAGACTCACACAGAGACCCACAGACTCGCACAGAGACCCACAGACTCGCACAGAGACCCACAGACTCACAGAGACACACAGACTCACACAGAGACACACAGGCTCACACAGAGACCCACAGGCTCGCACAGAGACCCACAGACTCACACAGAGATCCACAGACTCACACAGAGACCCACACAGACACACAGACCCACACAGAGACCCACAGGCTCACACAGAGACAAACAGACTCACACAGAGACCCACAGACTCACACAGAGACCCACAGACTCACACAGAGACCCACAGACTCACACAGAAACCCACAGACTCACACAGAGACCCACAGACTCGCACAGAGACCCACAGACTCGCACAGAGACCCACAGACTCGCACAGAGACCCACAGACTCGCACAGAGACCCACAGACTCGCACAGAGACCCACAGACTCGCACAGAGACCCACAGGCTCACACAGAGACCCACATACTCACACAGAGACCCACAGACTCACACAGAGACCCACAGACTCACACAGAGACCCACAGACTCACACAGAGACCCACAGACTCACACAGAGACCCACAGACTCACACAGAGACCCACAGACTCACACAGAGACCCACAGACTCGCACAGAGACCCACAGACTCGCACAGAGACCCACAGGCTCACACAGAGACCCACATACTCACACAGAGACCCACAGACTCACACAGAGACCCACAGACTCACACAGAGACCCACAGACTCACACAGAGACCCACATACTCACACAGAGACCCACAGACTCACACAGAGACCCACAGACTCACACAGAGACCCACAGACTCACACAGAGACCCACATACTCACACAGAGACCCACAGACTCACACAGAGACCCACATACTCACACAGAGACCCACAGACTCACACAGAGACCCACAGACTCGCACAGAGACCCACAGACTCGCACAGAGACCCACAGGCTCACACAGAGACCCACATACTCACACAGAGACCCACAGACTCACACAGAGACCCACAGACTCACACAGAGACCCACAGACTCACACAGAGACCCACAGACTCACACAGAGACCCACAGACTCACACAGAGACCCACATACTCACACAGAGACCCACAGACTCGCACAGAGACCCACAGACTCGCACAGAGACCCACAGGCTCACACAGAGACCCACAGACTCACACAGAGACCTGACTTGACTCGGAAGCGCCTGTGGAAGGCGGCTCCTTGTCAGCCAACCCGTGGCACTGAAGCTGCGAGTCGGCCGACTCCCGTCTGCGGCTGTGAGCTGCATGCGGTGTCTGCCGTTGCACGCGCATTGCATGTGTTGATATTAACGTAACGGCTCGTAGCATGCAACTCCCACAACACCTGTGCGTGCAACAGTGTGAAGGACACACACACAAGCTATATCACACGAACACTGACCATCACACACACAACAAAAACAACAACCGGCATTCGCTACTAAGTGACGGTGACGTCACCACGACGCTTGTGCCAGGCTATGTGCCCCTTGAGGCCACGTGAAGTGTCGAACGCCCGCTGGCAGGAGGTCACGGGGCAGACCCAGGTGCCACGGGTCGACTGACTGAGATGACCGAGATGACTGGTTGATGCACCACCTGTGCCTCAACCATCCTGAACACCTCCACTGTCAGGGTCTCTGGGGAGGTCTGGACCGTGTACCCAATGCAGCCATTGCAGCTGCATGAGTCAGTCCTAAACCTCGCCCATTTACCCTTGACATCAGGAGGAGAGGGGGACGATGCCAATCCCAGCCGCAAGCGATGATGAAATTCTCGCTTGCAACTTTCATCAGCTAGCTGAGACCAGGCCACCTGGTCACAGGTTGGAGTGGAAGAATGGCAGGCGCATCTTACAGATGACAAGTCGATGGTCAGAGGGCAGATCAGCTTCACGGTAGGTTCTGGTGTTAAGGACATTGTCCCGTCACTATGTAGTCTAGCAAATGTTCTTGTTTGGACCTGGCATGCATCCATGATGTTGTGTGGATGCGCCGATGCCGGACCAGCGTGTCTGTAATTATAAGCCCATGGGCTGCACAAAAATCTAGCAGCCTCCTACCATTGTTATTGAGCTGATCTGGCCCATGCCTTCCAATCACTCCAGACAAGGTGCCAGCATCATGACCAACTCGGGCATTGAAGTCACCCAACAAGATGACTCTATCCCGAGGAGCCACTTTAGCCAGCACCTGTGACAGGAGGTCATAGAAGGGATCTGACTCATCGGCCTTGCCTGCATCCCTCCACGGATGTTCGTCTTCGGTGGGGGCATAAGTAACCACGACCACCACTCCTCGCCTCTGGTTAATGGGAAGGCGAGCTCAAAGTAGCCTGGGCTTGCAGCTTCTCACACCTCACCGCCACGCTCCCACACCCCCTTCATTATTTTGTTCAGAAGAAGAGCCACACCCTGTTGTTTGGCAGTCTCCTGCCCCAAGTAGAGGACTGTCCACCCCTCATGGTGGTAGGAGCCAGAGCCGGTCCACCGGACCTCCTAAATACCACAGAGATCCAGGCAGTACCGGTCCAGCTCCCGACATTCCACGTGGCCACACGTAGTGGCTTTTTGTTGTTTCTGGAGGAGCCCCGAGGTTGAAGATTCAATCTCCTGGCTCCGCCAAATGGGGTTTGGCCAGGAGACGTCATAGACGCCTGTCCCCCCGGGGCCTCCGGCACAAGCTTATTAGTTAGATATTTTAGACGTGGTTTAGTGGTAATTTATTGAAGGTGGAGGGGTTACCACCCCCTTGCACCCGTCCAGTCGGAATTGGCTCTCCCCCCACGGCACTGGCCACAACAGCGTTGTCCGACCGGCACCACAAGGAGGTAGCGGGTTGTTTGACCAACACACACTCACCATCACACATACACACTGACCAACACACACACTGACCATCACACACACTGACCATCACACACACACTGACCATCACACACACACACTGAACATCACACACACACACTGAACATCACACACACACTAACCTTCACACACACACACACTGAACATCACACACACACTAACCTTCACACACACACACTGAACATCACACACACACACTGAACATCACACAGACACACACTGAACATCACACAGACACACACTGAACATCACACACACACACTGAACATCACACACACACACTAACCTTCACACACACACACTGACCATCACACACACACACACTAACCTTCACACACACACACACTGAACATCACACACACACACACACTGAACATCACACACACACACACTGAACATCACACACACACTGAACATCACACACACACACTGAACATCACACACACACACTGAACATCACACACGCACACACTGAACATCACACACGCACACACTGAACATCACACACGCACACACTGAACATCACACACACACACACTGAACATCACACACACACACACTGAACATCACACACACACACACTGAACATCACACACACACACACTGAACATCACACACACACACACTGAACATCACACACACACACACTGAACATCACACACACACACACTGAACATCACACACACACACTGAACATCACACACACACACTGAACATCACATACACACACACTGAACATCACACACACACACACTGAACATCACACACACACACTGAACATCACACACACACACTGAACATCACATACACACACACTGAACATCACACACACACTGAACATCACACACACACTGAACATCACACACACACTGAACATCACACACACACACTGAACATCACACACACACTGAACATCACACACACACACTGAACATCACACACACACACACTAACCTTCACACACACACACACTGAACATCACACACACACACACACTGAACATCACACACACACACACACTGAACATCACACACACACACACTGAACATCACACACACACACACTGAACATCACACACACACACTGAACATCACACACACACAGTAACCTTCACACACACACACTGAACATCACACACACACACTGAACATCACACACACACACTGAACATCACACACACACACTGAACTGAACATCACACACACACACTAACCTTCACAAACACACACACTGAGCATCACACACACACTGAACATCACACACACACACACTGAACATCACACACACACACTGAACATCACACACACACACACTAACCTTCACACACACACACACACTGAACATCACACACACACACACACACTGAACATCACACACACACACACACTGAACATCACACACACACACACTGAACATCACACACACACACACTGAACATCACACACACACACTGAACATCACACACACACACTAACCTTCACACACACACACTGAACATCACACACACACACTGAACATCACACACACACACTGAACATCACACACACACACTGAACTGAACATCACACACACACACTAACCTTCACAAACACACACACTGAGCATCACACACACACTGAACATCACACACACACACACTGAACATCACACACACACACTGAACATCACACACACACACTAACCTTCACACACACACTAACCTTCACACACACACTGAACATCACACACACACACTGAACATCACACACGCACACACTGCCTGTCCTAACCCACTCCGGTCTGTCTGTCTGCAGGGTGATGAAGGGTTTCCCAAAACAGAGCAGGTACCTAACCACACCCACTAACCACACCCATGCCCGCTAACCACGCCCCGC